AACACTGTATTAATTAATAAGCATCTTAAATAACTTAATATAGAACTTAATATATTTCTTCTATTGTCATTATTCATGCTATTCAATGTTCTTAATAATGCATTAATTAAGACACTTTAATAAATCAATTGTTGGCGGTAAATACTTTTTCATCTGCATTTCTATAGTGTTACTTTTTGGCGGTAAATATATTTCTTTAATATATATATATATATATATATATATATATATATATATATATATATATATATATATATATATATATAAAGATAAAGATAAAGATATGTGCAACTTTTTTTTTATCATCAACTAGCCTTCTTTCATATCATAAGTTGCAGTATCATTACATCATTCAAAGGGAAAACAACACTGACACCAACTAAACTCCAACTACTACGACTGTAAACTCTATGATCAGACTTAGAGACGGTCACCCCTGAAAGAGCAACACGAATCGCTAACCATGTAATGGGTTTGATACAGCCATCCATATCCCCACAGATCCAAACATACTCAATGACATAAAAAAAGGCTGAAATCCCAAACAGACTGACAAACCTAACAACATAGACGATAACAGAAAACCAAAAAGCAAAATAATAACAACTAAAAGGAAAACTTTCGCGGACTCTAGCACCTTGTACAACCCCTGGCGGCGGTTCAGGAGGAGGTCGAACCGCCGACCCCTGTTCCTCAAGGATCAGCCCTTGCCAATCTTGCATCCCTGTTCCCACAGTCTTGGAACCGCCGACCCCGCCTTGGAGTCCGCCGGACGAGGACGAGAAGACGCCGAACGAGGACGAGAAGACGCCACCTCGAGTCTGTTCGCGCCTCTCCGTCCCAATTCTCGACCAACCCCTCTGCAGCGCTGGCTCTCCGCTTCGATCTCGCTCTGCCTCTTGTCTGCTCTCGCTTGCATCTGCCATCGGAATAGTTAATCCGCACCAGCACGGCGGATTTGTCCGATCGATTGGTCAATCCGCACAGAAACGGCGGAAGTTTCTAACCCTAACTAAGAGGGAAGGCCGCTCTTTCTCAAAGACGCGTCACAAGAAAAAGTGAAAGCGCTATTACAAACATTAAACTAAGATATGTGCAACTTAAAACTACTAATCGCTATGGTCACTTAGTTTTAAAATAATGAGTAATAATTATATATTTATGACTAAAATAAAAAATGTTTGAAAAATGTGATCTTTTAGTTTAAATGTAGTGATTATAGTACTAACTTTAGTCATAATAACTTATATATTTTACACTTAAGTGATCATTATATTATATCATACTAACTTTAATTCATTTTTTGTAAATACATGTTATTTCAATTACTCCCTCCGTCCCGCTAAGATTGTCCCATTTTACCTTTTCGGGAAGTCCCACTAAGATTGTCCCATACCAAATTTGGTAAAGATTGTGTGGCTCTAAACCATTCTTACTTTATTCTTACTTTATCAATTTAATATCAACCACACAAACTCACTTTTCTTAATAATCGTGTCACCTTCTTCCGTCCCAATCTTAGTGGGACGGAGGTAGTATATTTTAAATATTTAAGTAGAAGTAAGTGATTCCAAACACTTTTTCAACTTTGACGATTGACATGATAGGCTCCCAGACGATTGGCATGGAGGGGAAACTATGGCGAGCGATGGGAAGGCAACCTTTCCGGCGATTGGCATGATAGGCTTTCAGACGAATTTTCTGGGGGTTGAAATTCTCTTTTACCATACTACAGCAGCTCGCCCTCCTCCGAAACAACCCTTGTGCGCGGAAGTAATTTGGGGAAAGCTTTTATTTTCATATTATTTTTCCTTTCGCGGTACTTATTTTTATTTCAATTCGAGCAGGGATGGTCGGAGTATTTCGATTTTTGATGAACTCTTGATAGACTGTTTCATTTTCGGTCATTTTAGGCTTCCTCTTGCCCGTTTTGTGTCTAGCGAGTCAGGTTGCTTTGTATGGGTGGCTGACTCTAAATCTATTCATAGGGTTTACGATCGATCTGTAATATCTGTCAGGTTTTTGTCTTGCGTGTTTGCTCTATTTTAATGGAAACCCGTTTTGATGATAAAAAAAAACTTTCAAGTGATCATGTATGAGGAAGCGGTCTAGCTCAGCTAGTCGCCGACTCACTCTCCCTTATGAGAGGTCTCGGGTTCAAAACTCAATGAAGTGAGTTTCAGCCTAGTTTACTTTAGGGCGCCCCTAGACCCCCTCCCCCAGACCCCCCGAAGTAAAAAAAAGATGTGATCATGTATATTGCTTTTTTAAGTCCATGCAAACACTAATCGCTAGCTTAGGATCGTCCTCTATCGGCAAAGCCGAGGAGCGAGACTGGTTTTTTCCGGCCGCTTGTGGTTATCGGCAATCGGATTGGTATTCGGCAATTTGGATTTGGGAAGAGGTTTGGTTCCAGGGGCTTGTAAAGCTTCTGGTTCGGGATCGGCGACTACGAGGAACTGGACAGAGACCAGAGCACCAACGGCTGTTTTGGTAAGAGGGCAAAGGATCTAGATTGCATGGAAAACATTGTTGATCAGGTAGAGGAAGATGAATTGGATCTTGATGAAGCTGATCTTGAGGATTCTCCGGTAGAGGAGAACAAACCGGGGTTCCCCGTTGTGGAAATATTGCTGACAGATAGCAAAGTCAAATTCTCATGGCATCGCTATGGAGGTTGGGAAGGGAGTACCGATTAAAGAAGTAGGTGATAAGAGGTACCTTTTTACTTTTTATCATCTTGTTGATATGAAACGTGTGCTAGATGGTGGTCCTTGGCAGTTTGAGAGTAATTTGCTGATTTTGAAAGAAGTTAAGCCTGATGATATTCCACATAATTTTTTTTTTAAATGAGGTTGAGTTATGGGTTTAAGTTCATAATGCTCCCTACAGCCTAATGAATTTAGTTACTGTTAGGCGGGTTGGTAATTTTATTGGAAAATTTATAAGATGTGATGATAATCGGTATAGTGAGAAGTGGGAATCTTATATGAGAGTCAGAGTGAGTATGAATGTGGAAAAGTTGTTGAAAAGGGGTATAAATCTTAAGAAAGAAGGAAGGAGCTTCTGGGTGAACTTTAAGTATGAAAAGTTGCTCAACTTCTGTTTTATCAGCGGTATAATAGGGCATTCAAATAAATTTTGTCCTCTGACTTATGAAGAGGGCCTGATTCTGGAGAAAAATTTCGGAGTCCAGCTTAGAGCAGATAGCGGGGTGAAGACAAGTCCAACAGGAGGAAATAAATGGTTGGTGGACGGATCATCCAGTTATAGCAGGGATCGCAGGAATACGAGGGACAATAAGTCTGATGGTAGAATGGGAGGAGGGGGAAAGGAGTATATCTCAGAAACAACGCATAACACAACTAAAGGCGTGGAGATCGAAACTAAGGAGGAGGCATCAGGAGAACAAAAAAGAAGACGGATTTGGGAAACCCATGAAGATGACAAGCTCGTGGGGGATAACTTGGCGCTTGATGGAGCAAAAAACGGGGAAGGGGCGGGGCTTCGACCAGTAAGTTCGCCGAAGCTGATTCAGTCAGGACCAGGGCGAAGGATTTGGGAGCTTGTGCTGTTCAGAAGGTTGGGACTAGGGGTGGGAATAGACCAGACGACCTTTCAGGGGCCTGTGGCTTGGCCTGTTTAATAAACAAGCAAGGCTTGGGCTTTTCAAAAAGCCCGTTTGTGTAAAAAGGTGGTCAGGCTTAGCCTAACTCTAAAGCCTTTTTAGCTTAACAGGTCGACATATTTATATGTGTGTATATATATATATATATATATATATATATATATATATGTTTGTATATATATATATTTATTTGTATTTATTTTGTATTATTTATATTAATATGAGTATACTTAACTTTAACAAATTAGGCATAAAAGTGTTTTTGATGGATCATGTATTATAATATTATAAATTAGAATACTATTGCTATTAAATATATAAAATTTGGTAATAGGTTATTAGGAATTTAGGATAATTTAAATTCAAAGTTTTTTAAAGATTTCAAATACATAAAAATTTATAATCTAAATAGCTAACGTCTTATTAGTCATTCAAAGCAAAACTAACATATCATTAGATTTTTTAGTGAATATTTGGGAAGATAAACTTTATACCGAACTAATAATATTTGTCACTTTTTATATTGAATTTTTATGAACTTTTTTTTTCTAAACAGGCCTAGTAAACAGGCTTCAGGCCAGACCAGACTTTTAAGCAGGCCGGGCTCAGGACGAAAAGACAAACCTTTAACAGGTAACAGGACAGGCTCAGCCGCTCAGGCCTATATATTTTAAAACATGCCCGACCCGTTTAAGCAAAAGCCTGACCTTGCCTGGGATAAGAGTTTTAAAATTTATTAGTATTATTTTATTCTTTCGAGACAATTTTCTTTGTTGTGTGATTTTTCGTTTTTTAATTTATTACTACTGTAAGAATGTGGATTTGGATGTGGGTGATGGAAGGATTGAGGTAACCGTATTTGGCTCAGTTGTGTCCATTAATAAATCAACGAGTTATATTGCTTCTTTTGAGGTGATTAACTCTGAGTCTGATTTGAGGGACGACGGTTGTCAGGAATCTTTTAGTCGGGTTACTTACTATTTGAATGATGTGTTATCAATTTAGGTACCAACTCCGGTACCCTTTTAAAAAATGGAGTACCGTACCTACTATTCATTTGATTGAACCACATCACTTTATCATTTTTAATTTAGATTTAAATAATTCAACTGCACCATTCCTATTGGTCCATATGGACAAATGTATGATATCTTATGGATATAATAGAATCTACCATCAATTTAAGCTATTTCTTCCACACAAAAAAAGTCCATGCAAACACTCCCCTACTCACAACTTAGAACTTTTGATTTACACGCTGCCCCCGGTGAGGTGGATGATTGAATCTGACGAGGCGGTTGATGATTGGTGACGTCCAGCAAAGCTCCGCTGACAGTGGCATTCATACACACGACTCCGTACGACCGCAGCTATCTTCGGTTCTATCTGCTGAGATCATTTCTACCGAAGATCTCTGCGGCAATTCTCCAGGACCATTCCCAAGAGACCAAAGAAAAATTTAGAATCAATGAGGAAAGGGGTCTTGATATGCAGCATGGTCATATTCTTATCAGCCTTGTTTCAAAGGACTCTATGTGGGCACTATCCTCCTACTCCGTTCGCAGCTAGGAGGAAACGCATGAGCGAGAAAGTTCGCAAAATGTAAGCTTCTTGAACAATTGCTAGGCATCTAGCTAGTATGCTCTTTTGTTTTGTTCATCAAATTTCATTTGCATCTTTAATCTTCTTAGTCCATAAACCAGTCTGCTAGAGTTAGGAAAATAAGGAGGAAGGAGAAGATTTCCATGCTTGCATCTGAATTTGTATTCCCGTGTTTTTTTCTGTTTGTAGTTACTGTATATTACTTATAGTGCATATGTGGTGGATTGCTTTTAGGTTTAAGGCATTGGTTCATTGAGGTGCTCAGACATTTGAATTGGGACCTTGGGGTTTTACAAACTATGCCATTCTTTTTCCGTAAAGTTATCAATTTCTTTGTGATTAGTTCTACATTGGAATTTTAGCTATGCAAAGTTGCATTGAAGATGATAATTAAAAGTGAGGTGTTTCAATCAATTGAACTGATTGGTACCCACTAAAGGCGAAGACACTTCTAACTCAATAATGACACTCAACAATGTCGGGTTCATAGTAAGGGCTGTGCGTAAGTTTGTCATGCTTTAATTTCTTTCTTACACTCATAATTCAAAGATGCTGTGCGGGGAGTGTGCGCCTTGTGCTGATACACACACATATTAGTTAACATGTTTCTTGAATGGTCTCCAAGTTTTCGTGACATAATAAGAAAGGAGAAACTCCTTAAAAATATACTCCTTCCATCCCCCCATCGTTGTCCTATTTTACCTTTTTTCATCCGTCCCACTAATGCTCTGTTTGGGTAAGTGAACTTAAGTAAACGTAGTGCAATAAAGTAAATCTAAGTTTTAATAAAAACTAGGTTAACCTAAGTGAACCTAGGCTCATGCGTAAAATAGTGTTTGTAAATAAATTAGGTCAACCCAGGTTAATGTAATAAATGTTGTTTGGATGAAGATACTCAAGCTTATTTTATGTTAAACAAGAACTTAACCTCCAAACCCCCCCCCCCCCCCATTTCGGAGGTTCTTCAATTTAAGGTTTTTCCAGGTTCTCGGGAGTTATGTGAGGCCCATGACCTAGGTTCTTGTTGCAAAAACACAAACAAACGAGGTTAATTAAAAATTGAACCTGCAATAACCTAGGTTAACCCCCAAACAAACAGACCATAAGTTTGTCCCGTACCATATTTGGTAATATTTGGATGGTTGCAATTCATTCTTACTTTTTTCACACTTCCAGTTCAATTCCAACCACACAATTCCACTTATCTAGTTATCTTAATAACCGCACCACTCCCTTTTGTCCCAATCTTAGGGGGACGGATGTAGTACATTATATTGGTTAGTAGTTCTTGCAAGACCAAAGGTATGTCCAAATTGAAGAAACTTTTCCCAATGTTGTATTGATGTGGTATCTCTGCTGTTTGAAAAGATTCTCTGTTTTTATGACCTTGTTCCATTCAAAAGACATTTTTCCCTTTGCATCAGGTTTTATCATGCTTACGGGAACTATATGATCCATGCATTTCCGGTTAGCTGAGCTCCTTGATTAATATTTTAAAGCAGCTTCATATGTATTTGACTACTGTATAAATATAAAGCTTATATTTCTAACTTTTTTGTAGCATGATGAGCTTAAACCTCTGACCTCTACATTCACAGATTCTCTGAGTGAGCTTGGAAATTTAAAGGTAATTGTATCTCCAGCCTTACACTGATTTCCAATATGGTTTAGCTGGACAAACTTTGTGAAGTTTGTTCGACTAAATAATTAAATAATAAATATGCAATTGGATGTTTAGCTCGAGCATCTCCCACAACAATATAGTGGCTCAGCTCTTACACTAATTGAATCATTGTCCAGGTACATTACCTTTATTTGGACGTGTCTGAGGGAAACATTTGATTCACTTCTTTACAAGCCTACATTGAAAGATTACATCTGTTTTTATTTATTTACATGTATTTAAGAAGAAAGCCATCAATATATTGTCTGTGTTATCTGTTTTCTTTTTGCAGTCTTTTTATTCTGGGTAATGTCACTGAGTTTGAAAGGGCAGTTCTTTGGCTTTCAGAAAATCTTTCATTTGACACCGATGCAAGAATAAACCTTTTTGAGGTATAATTTTGTTTTATTTTTTATCATCAAATGGTGTATATTACTAACACGTTAGGATGTGGCTTAACTGATTGATTGAAAGTCTTGTCATTTTCAATATTAGTTTCAACAAACTTAATAATCAGCTGACAAACAAACTTATTTTTGGATTTAAGAATGTCAGGAATTTGATGGTCCCTACTATAGATGAAATTTCATTGTTTTTTCTGTTAAGACATGAAAATGGTGATGTAAGAGGTTTGTTTAATGATGTTTTTTTCCCTGGGTAGTGCAACATAAGAGTTCTTGGCGGACTAGTTTCTGCCCATCTTCTTGCAACTGATTCTACAAACATGTTGGTTCAAGGAACTTATAAGAAGCAGCTTCTTGATCTGGCAGAGGATCTGGGAAGACGTTTACTACCTGCTTTTGATACACCAACAGGACTGCCATATGCTTGGATCAACTTGAAGGTAACCTTTACGCCTCCAATAGCATCTTTATTTTAGAGCCTATAATGACTTGTTTTGCTAGAAATTACCAAGGTCATGAAGGTTTTTTTGCTATTCCAAAAAAATTTCTTGTGCATGGAAGATTTGAATATGCCAAAATCAAGGATGAGTTCTTTTGTAGCAGAGAAATTTGGTAGAGGGACTCTTAGGTGTTAGTTTTCACTTTTCACCAATATTTAGTCGGTATGTAGGAACAAAATCATGATTCATGAGGGATAAAGGAATCAGTATGATTCTCCTACACTTTCAGGACTGTTTAGGATCTCTTCGTTTAGATCTAGTACATACTACATAGTACTGTAGGTGTAGTTTGATACATCATAATAGCATGTAATGTAATACTCTCTCAGTCCCTTTTCATCCATAAAACGGTTTATTGGTACAAATAACATAAGAGAATGTAACCACCATTTATTTGAAAAAGCAACCCCAAATATTTGGAACCAAAGTCGATGAGCAGTATTGCAGTAACCATTGATTAAGTTTCTTCCGATTGAGTTGGATTAAAAGCGTGAGATGTATTTGCGCCATCATTGTCTTTGAATAAAGTATTTTCTACGGTAGCACCATGAATAGCACATAGCAAGGCAGCGCACAGTACACCAGCAACTCCCATCATATGAAAGCGGTTCAATGTCCAATTATGAAACCCTTGAAAAAATAGGACGAATCTAAATATAGCTGCTACACCAAAACTCGGTGAAAAGAACCAACCATGACTGACCTAAGATACACTTTCCTTTTCTGATTTGTCCCAATAATTCGAACAGTTTCCTAATTCTGAAATGTCATTAATTAATAACTATAAAAAATAGGAAGTAGTATTTATGAATGATTCATCAAGTAATATTTTGAAATATCATAAACACCTCAGAAGTTTGCAGATAGCTTGGTTAAATCGTGCTACCCAAATTGGTAGATTAACAGATAAATGTACCTAAGATCAAATTATACATAATATAAAAGTTAATTCTTTGCTCATATATTCTCTCTAGCCCATTTTATATGTTCTAATAATCCCAACTTGTTAACAATTTCACAAAAACGAACCAACATACAAGAAAGTTAAGTCCTTTAAGTACTTAAGTTGTGGTTCATTTTTGTAAGCGGTTACTGAGTTGGGATTATTGTTGAGAACTTCTCCAATAAAGATTATATTTGTACATTGCCTAAAAGTATGGATTATTAGTGCCGATTGCACTTTTATGTTTTAAATTTTTAAAAATAATATCAGTAGTTACATGTATAAATTACACATGGCACTCAAGTCGTGGAAAAAAGTACTAAAATGTAAACCATACGCATTTATAAATGGAAAAATTTAAAATAATAATCTCAACTATTGTCGGTCCGCTGATAATAATCCCAAGTCCCAACTATTGATTATTTTTGTATAATCCCAATTATATGGACCGTCCGCCAATAATGGTCCATGACCAGATATTACCTCCTAAAAAGTGAATTTTAAATAGAAATTAAGTGTAAAAATTAAAATTTGGGATTATTTATAGGGATTACTTGCTATATCTCTCCTCATCCACTTTAGAAACAACAAGAATTTATTTATGGGGACCATTATTGGTGGAAGGTCCCTAAAGTTGGGATTATTCTGAAATAATCGATAGTTGGGATTATTATTATAAGCGGACTGCCAATAGTTGGGATTATTACTATCAATTTTTCCTTTATAAATCGAGTTGAAAATAAAACAGTAACATTAGTTTAACTCCAATCCATTGAATTACCACAAAAATAAGTTTGTAAAATAATCATCGTCTACTAGCAATAAACATTAATTACCAATTCACCATAAAGTTCATGTAAGTTGATTTTTTTTAAAATTCACTCAACATTACTACAATAGAAAAACCGAAACTAGCAGTGATATCATCTTGACTTGGGCAATCCAATAAAATTTGTTATTTTGAGCGTTCAAAAAATCAAACCGTTCGCACCAGTCTAACAACTGGTTCAATCTAGTTTGGACCTTTTTGGCACCAATTCTGAATCCCACCATTTATATAGGCTACCTGGACGGCTGGACCAGTTTACTGGCAAGCCTGGTCCAGTCTGTTTTAATACCTTGATCTGACCAAAGACAACTAGTAGTGAATAGAGAGCTCCATCACAATGGGAGCTCTGGTCATTGTATATATTCTTACCCATCACAATTCTGTTTCCGTTTGAACATGTAGTGGAGGTTGAGATTGTGTGTAGTGGTCAGTGTTCATAAGTTGCATCTATATGGTGTAGATTCAAATTCTAAGAGTGTGTTGAATGTTTGATAGTAAAGGCATTTTTTTTTCACATCCCATGCATGATCCAGGAACACTTTTCACTGAATGGTCTTGTTTTGCAACTGTGTGGATACTTGCTCTGTCTATTGTACAACTGTGTGGTCTGGTCATTGTATATATTCTTATCTACTAAGATTCTATTTCCATTTAACATGTAGCAAAGGTTGGGTGTGTGTGTAGTGGTCAGTGTTCATAAGTTGCACACATATGTTATAGATTCAAATTCAAATTCTAAGAGCCTGTTTGAGTGAATGATAGTAAAGGCATTTTAATTTCCCAGTCCATGCGTGATCCAGGAACAGTTCTCATAGAGTGGTCTTATTATGGAATAATAAATGTTTGCATAATTACACTGCAATGGTTTTTGTTATAAAATGAATTTACTGAAATTTCTCAACGGGAATTGTCTTCAGCATGGGGTGATGCAGAATGAGACAACTGAAACAAGCACATCTGGCTGTGGTGAGAATGCTCAATGATTGAGATAAGCATGTAACAAGCTTTGACATGTATACAAAAGAAGTTTCGACCAACCTGAGTGAGCAGTAACTTATGAAAATTGAATTGATTTCTCATTACTTTCGTTGAAGTTCAGGCTCACTGATTCTTGAAATGGGAGCATTATCTCGTTTGACGGGTGATCCAATATTTGAAATTGCTGCTTTGCGTGCCTTACGTAAGTTGTGGAGCATGCGTAGTTCTCTCAACCTTCTAGGAACTACATTGGATGTGGCCACTGGAGAATGGATAGAGTATTCTTCTGGAATTGGGGCTGGTACACTGCTCTCATATACTTACTGTCATTAATGATTTTTCTCCGACTTTACAGGAACTGTTTCTTTCAGAAACTTCTTTGCTCTTTTGGTGGCTTATGATGCATTATGTGTGGTTTTCAATATTGTTTTCAGGTGTCGACTCCTTCTATGAGTATTTGGTAAAAGCTTACATTCTCTTCGGGAAGGATGAATGCTGGAAGATGTTTCAGTCTGCCTATCTTGCTGTGCAAAAGTATTTCAGACACGGGCCCTGGTGCTGTTCTGATACATTTAACTTATCTTCATATTTTGTCATTCGCGGATCATCCAGTTTATGATTCCTTTGCTCGGGCCCAATTAAATTTCTCATATTTTCCCTGTATCATTAATGATCCATGCATTTACCTTCCCCCCATCAATTTGCATGTTTTTATTCAATCAATGAGTCTGTTAGAAATTGGATTGACCTTTAAATTTTTACTGGAGTCATTAGAAGACCAACCATTAAACTGTAAATAACACAAATCATAACACAAACCATTAGGTATCATGATGCAGACATGAGAACAGGAAGAGCTACTTATTGGCAGCTTACAAGTCTTCAAGCATTCTGGCCGGGCCTACAGGTAAGGAATCCTATAAACAAGGATAACTTTTTACATTTGAAGATTGTTGAAACAATTTGATAATTGCTATTAGTCAGGTTCTAGTTGGTGATGTTGATGCAGCTAATTCATCACATCGAGAATTTTTCAATGTGTGGAAAAGGTTTGGAGTACTACCTGAAAGGTACTTTACGCCTTCCTTTTCTTTCTTGCTTGTTTTTCTTCTTATCCCTGCAATGTTTAGTTTATTGTCCGAACTCAATGTTTTTTTTAGGGAGGGGGATTATGTCTTTGGTTGGTGTAATTTTTAATTAGAACAATTATTTTTTGTATATGATTTCGTCTTCTTGAATAAAATCAGTTTAAACCGGTGATTAAATCAACTGTTTCTGTGGTTGCTGTAATATAAGGTAATTCATTCATTCGTTGGAAAATATATGAGATGAGTTTGTTATATGCGTAGGTATCTGCTAGACCATCACATAGTGCATCCCACAGAGAAGTACTATCCTCTACGCCCTGAACTTGCAGAATCCACATTTTACCTATACCAAGCAACAAAAGGTATACCACAGTTCTAAATTGTTTCCCATTATGATTTACCCACTCATTCAAATTGAAGGTAATTGAAATATTACCGGACTGGCTGGTTAGCTCGGAGGTCCCCGCATACCGGGGGGCTTTCAGGGTCCAGTTACCATAGCACTACAGGGCGGATCTGTCCAGACAAATGCACAGTCTGAGACTGTCAAGTGTGGTCCCAGTATGCGGGCACCTTAGGAGCGTACTGTGTATCATTTCAACTGCTGCATAACCACTGCTCGTCCATAGCCCGCCATGTAGCAGGCCACAAATTGTATCTAGCAATGCCACATGTTCCGCACACCCAAAGTCCAGGAATAAATAGAGGCTGAACCAACAATTGTAGAGTATCCCTATCAGACCTTCTGCACTCGACTACCTTGCACTAGACAAGACTAGACTAGATATAGCCAATGGCGAACAGTATCCGGTTGGCAGCTCTCCTGCTCCCCCGTAGGCAAGGTACAAGCACAAAGCCACAAAGGCATGTGGTATTGTGGTTTCACCATTACGGGTTTCCATGTAAAAGAGAGCTGCCTAGTTCCATTTTACATTCTCACCTCTTTGTTGCAGCCTATGTGACCAGACTCAATCTCTGGTTTGCCCAGCTCAAATCCTCGAATCTCGGTAAACCAATTATAACGGGCCATATTGCAATATCGCGTATCCGACCAACCAGCTCAGCCTTAGCTCTTTTGGTCCGGTCTACAATCACCCTTTTATATAATAAAGTACATTAAAGGGTGTACATATCTTTGGGGTTTTATTAGGCACACCTAGCTTGATGAAATTTGCCATGTCTCATACTCCTTTTTTACTTGTAGCTTTGAAATATGTGTGGTCTGTGACATTATTATGTTTGTGTCTTAGCTAACTTTCATTTGCTGAAGTGCTGATTAAAAAATAGTGAAAGGGGGTAACAAGAATGACAACTTTTGTAAAAGACTGTTTATGCTTGCTGGTGTCATACTGTACTTATTGTGCTTGATGCAACAATTAATGGCCCTATTTTCATACCCTTTTAAATGTCTGTTTCTTCATTTATGTCTTTGACAGATCAGACCTCTCTTTTGTCATTATAACTGGGGGCTCGGTCTTGGGTAATTTTTAACCTGTTATCTGTAATGAGCACTTTATTTGTAATATAGGCAATAAGGCATTCATCTGTTTTTGTTTGGTTGAGTGAGAAAGTATATTACAATGCTCAGCATCCTTTAATTTTTCTGTTTTTTATTTATTAGTCTTACCTTTTGACCTTTTCCCTTTGTGTGACCAGATCCGTGGTATATGGAAGTGGGTGAGTTAATCATTAAATCTTTAAACCAATATACTAGAGTTCAAGGCGGATATGCAAGTATTAGAGATGTGACAACCATGGAATTAGAAGATCATCAGCACAGTTTCTTCCTATCTGAAACGTAAGATTACTTATTCATTAGGATATGAACATTTTGCTGAGCTGTCTCACACGTTTTTGACATTTATGGCACCGACTCTTTGGTCCGTGTATCATACTGATACCAATCCCTCAATTTATTTTGCACTGGTGCCAATTCCTCCTGAGCACTTGTATCTGATTTATATCAAACCTTTCAATTTGTGTCTGATTGGTACGAATTCTTCATGAGAATGGATCATCATGGTACTAAACTTAATTGTCTGCCAGTTTTGCTGACATTGTGGGAAAATAAGCATAAATACTGTGATGTGACATTTTAGTGTGATGTTAAGGATGCTTGCTTCTCACATGATCTCTGCAGGTGCAAGTATTTGTATCTTCTCTTTGACGATTCTTTTCTGGTCAATCAAAATTACATCTTCACAACTGAGGGTCATCCTCTTCCAGTTTTAAACACTTGGCATGATAGACTTTCCAAAGCATATTTACCAAGCAATCAGACTTCATTCAAGGTGTGTGCTAAATACTTATATGGATATTGTTTTTTAATACTATCGTACTTCATCAACCATTGTCTCTCGCTCTTATCCCAAGCTTAGTGTGATTATTTGATTGAAGGCATTTTCACTTCTGAATACTCAAAATAAATGCATTTTGCTTGTTCTCTCTAGGGATAAGGAACAAATGTGCAATTGAACTATATTTATCATAACACGTATCCCCCTCAAAATTTTGAAATAATTGAACACAAATTAAATGTTAAAAAAATAATACCTTTGAACTATAGTATTAGAGTATATACACATTAACTATTGGAGATTTGGACATTTTTTGAGAAGATTGGACATTCGGACATAGCTGTTCAAACTTTACCATTTTTATACGTAATTGTTCCAAAAGAAAGTTGAGGGGTATATTATATTGCTTAGGGGCATATCTATTCCCTTTCCCTTATTCAATACTTGCATCTAGCAGAGTGGAGTCTTGTGTAAAACATGCATTTAATATGGTGGATGTTTAATTTCCCTTTTATAGGGGCAAGGTCGGAGAAAGCGATCTAGTGCAATGTCACAGCAGATATGTCCAGCGACTATGCTTAGCCACCATGAGGAGAATTATCCACACCTTGAGAGCGCTTGCCACGTCCCTGATATGGTTGCTGATCACAGATGTGCGACTAATGACGATTGTGGTGTTGATTCAACCACTTGTAGACGAAGATCATGCAGTATGGCTGGTTTTTGTGGTCTGTGGTTGTCGACATGAGAGTTGGCCTGCACATACAGATATTTCTTGCTCAAGAAACTGTGTCTTTTAACTTTTAAGTGCATATGTGTAATGTTAAAGTTGCAGATACACAAACAAATAATACCATACGAGTATACTTTGTTAGGAAGAAGAGAAGATAGTATTTTGCATTCATGTGGGAAAGATCTTGTAACCATATAATACCGGTAGCCGGGAATATCGCACTCTAGGAGTCATATACTTCGTAAGTTCGTATATAACTGTAGATGGGACTAACGTATTATCAGTAAAGACTTTTTTTAACGTCAAAGTGTGTTTATCACTTATTTTGCTTCTAAGGCTGGCGTGCCGTATAAATACAAGGGATGCATGAGGTGTGCATGCTACTAAGAGAAGATGATAGGATACATACAATGACTTATTTCTTATTGTGGATATGTTTTCTTTCTGCTCTTTTTTATTTAATAGAATAGTCACCAAAATTATTTGAGGTCATTAAAGAATTATAAGCTCAATGCATGTTGTTTCACATAAAGAGAGACAAATATTCATTGCTCATTTATTTTACAAAATACATCTAAATCCGCATGATACATCAAATGATGAAATACACATTTCTCTACAACAAAACTAGTCATTATAGAACACAAAATGAACATCTATTATAAACATATTATTCTAGTGATTTCAACTTCTATAACATTCACCTTTGATACCTTGTTCAACATAAATAAAGTGTCAGGTATTGATAATCTTGTTATACTAGATTGTATGGTAAATCAGAATTTTGTGAGGAGCCAAATGATAGAAGTTAAAGAGTCTCTGTGAAAGATGGGGTGAAGAAAGCAATGGATCCGATGGAATATTTTTCGAGGCTTGGGGAAGTTTGGGAGGGAGAGAGCTATTGAGTGGTTAACACATTTCCTCAATATGATTTGGAGAAACAACAAAGTACCAGTGAGTTGACGGAAGAGTACTCTTATACCTTTATTTATGTAACTCTCCGATTTTATGAGCTAGTTATACTAATCATTATTATTTATTTTAGTCAGCTAAATAAGTGTCTTCTATGAATAATGTGATATACAAGTATTATTTAACATTTTTGTTGTTGGCAGGTAACGTGGACTGATAAGTTCATAATAATTTTAATCGAAGAAATAAATACTATTGTAATATCTACTAGTATTACACCCGTGCGATGCACGGAGGAATATATTGTTCAAATATTATGTTCAACGGGCAATATATAGAAAGTATAAATAAAAAATGACTTATTCTCTGGCGAAATCTAATAAATTTTTTAAAAATATAATTCTTAATTGAAGTGATTTTTAATGTAAAAATGATAAAATGATTTGGGAATAAAAGAATTCAATTTGAAAAATAAAGAGGAAATTTGATTTTGCACCCCATGACTTAAAAAGCAAATTATTCAAGTCTATTAGTGTCTTTCATTTACACGATTGAAGAGTGCAAAAATTCAATAATAATAACAATTTAAAATAAAATAATGCAGTTCTTAAATCCTCCGTATTTAAAAAGCACTCCATTTCAACCCAATGCCCAGCCCGCCCAGTCAAATTTATTAGTCATTAATCAGCAAACCTATCCAACCAATTTTCCCCTTGATCTGCAAACCCCAGCCCACTCCCTAAACTATCACTAATTTCTCTAGATGCATCGGTTCATCTTCCACCTCAGTCTCCATACTCTATTTTAGTTTATATACACTTTGTTTATTTTTGGACTGCTATTATATTTAGATAGATAGTGAAGGGTATGGAATCTGCTAATTAGGAGCATCAGTTATTCAATGCCCTTTCTTGAAGCGTCAAATTTTGATAATTTAAAATTATTTTCCAATTTTATCAAACTGTTTTACGTTTCATCATTTTCTTGGAGAATATACTCCGTATCTGTTTAATTAAAAAAGTTTATTAGCGTATCTAAATTTGATTTTAACTTTATAACATAATATTGTTTTCTAGTTTTATCTGAAAATTGTATATTTAAATTTTCTTTTCTACAATAGCTAGTTATTTATACAAATTGAGGCTAAATATTATAAAAGGTGGATAATAAATCATCCTCTGTGGCCTGTGCAATTCCCAAAACTCTTGATGACATTATGCACATCAGATACATAGTCACAACTGTATTACGGACTACGGAGTACATTATAAAAAATTTGAGCTAAAAACTTTCATAACTATTTGTGTGTATGACAACATTCTAAAAACTTTCACTACTCGAATAAGCTTTATAGTTCTTTTTTTTTGCAAGGGGAATAAGCTTTATAGTTGATCTATCATGTCTTCCGGAAGTGATGAAACTTTCACGAAAAGAATCAAATCACAAAAGGCCAGATGGCTATATTAATCATTATTATTTATTTTAGTCAACTAAATAAGTGTCTTCTATGAATAATGTGATATATTATTTACCATTTTTGTTTTTGACAGGTAACGTGGACCGGTATATTGTAGGGAGATTTATACAAATAAGTCTAAAACGTATAAAATTTCCAAATCTAGGATTACAAACTGCCGCAGGACATAAGTGCATTTGTTTTTACCATTATACCCCTAATATAAAATCAGATTATAAATCCCCTTCTCCAGGCATAGCGGACGATGCCGCCTTTGACGAGGACCCAAGCGAAGAGCTCTTTCTGGAAGACAATTTCGACGCCGATGAGGTACCAAATCCTTCATACGCCGGGGTTCGGTGACGACGGTGGCTAGGGCTCGACGATGGCGACGGTGGCTAAGGTTTTGCAATGCATCAGCGGCTAAGCTTCAAGCTTCGGAGATGGCGATGATGGCTAAGGTAACAGACAGCTGAAGGCTAGATTTTGAGGCCGAAGGGGGGAATGTTGGATTGGGGGTCAGGGTTGTGGAGATCTGGGATAGATCCGGGTTGGGAGGGTGGATCGGGGGTTATGTGGGTTGGTCGGAGTTGGAGCTCGAGCTGGGGAGGGGGGCTGGGGGCTGGGGGCTGGTGAGGAGGCTGGGATGTGGCTGGAGCTGGGTGGGGGTCGGGACTGGGGAAGGGGCAAAGGGCTGTCGACAGCGGCACTGCCGCTGTGTTGCAGCGGCCGGGGTGTTGCGGCAGTTACCGGAGTGTTACGACGGTGTCCTGGGTGTTACGGTGGTGGTCGGATTTGCCAATTTCGAACTTCTATTTCATATTTTTACAACGCCACAAGTACTCTGCAAAACGTTTGAAGAAACCAGATCCAAAACCAAACTTGCAAACACTAAACAATACATAGACATTAAGTGGTCAGTAAACAGACAATAAGTTCCAATAATAGTTCAATAGCAGGCAATACATAGACACTAAGTAGTCATTAAACAGACAATAAATTTTGATAATAGCTCAATAGCAGAGCAGGTCACGTAAAACAGTAAGTGAAGGGTAAAATTGGAAGTTTAAAATCCAGTTTTCAAAAATAGAACTACATGGCTCTTACGCAAGGAATAAACGTACGTAGGTCCCAATTTTAAAAAGGAGCTATGATTTGGTCCTACCAAGTGCAAATTTCTGTATATTGTAATATCTATTTAGTATAGGGAAAATGGAAAGTAATAATCCAACCTTTTAGCGGTCTTCTTTTAATAGTCCGACCTTTTCGTTATTCATGAATAATCCAACCTTTGCACCTCATCTTCATTCATTGGTCCCCGACCGGTTGATGACCTGCTATTTTGAGTTATTTTCTTATCTCTGCAAACTATTATACCATAAATTCCACTTTTCACAAAGATAATATTTTGCAAAGATAAGAAAATAACTCGGAATAGCAGGTCATCAACCAGTCAGGGACCAATGAATGAAGATGAGGTACAAAGGTTGGATTATTCATGAATAACGAAAAGGTTGGACTATTAAAAGAAGACCACTAAAAGGTTGGATTATTAGATTCCATTTTCCCTTTAGTATATTATTGAAAGGGAAAATTTTATTATTTAGTTGGGTCACAAGTATTTTTTTTAGAAGACTAAGAGACCCAAATTAGTTATGTTAGCCCAAATAAGTATATATCTTTTTTATAAGGAAAAATTCACATCAATAATCTCAACTATTAGGGATCTTCTCGTATTAATCCAAATATCCATAATTCCAATATAATCTAAACTATTTAGGGTAGCTTACAAAAACAACCCCATGACCTGAATAAACCAGTTTAGCCGGTCATATGGCCAGGTGTTTTGTTTTAATTGGACTTCCTATTATATGTCCCTTTAATTTGTCTTCTCTTTCATTTATTTTATTTTCCCCTTTCTTTCCTCTTCTACTTGTTCTGCGGTCGTCTTCTTCCCTTCTAGCTAGTTATTATTTTATTTAAGTATAGTTGGTATAATAAAGTGATTATTATTATCAGGGGTGGAGGGAGGGGGTGGCCAGGTTGGGCCATGGCCCAAGATAATTTTTTATTTTTTTGTATTTATATATAGTTTTTAATTTTTTTTTAGAATTGGCCCAGTGCAAGAAAATTACTGGCCCAGTGCAAAAAATAGTCCAATGCTAATCTAAACAAAAAGCACGGCAGCAAGACCGAGACGGACGGACATTGGACGCATCACGCATCAAGCAGGAGTCCAGACTACTCCCATCGGCGATTCGCCGGACGCCACCAGTCCTCCGCTCTCCCGCTTGCCTGCTCTCATCGCTGGAGGCCGGACGCCCACCCTTTTCTGCCTGTCTGCTTCTCTCCAAGACTCCAATCTCAAGACTTAACACAACTATTAAGCCAAGCTACCAAGGTCATCAGGCATAGAGCACCTCCAATGCTATTCTTTTGAAGGAAGGTAAATTTTGCCACATGTCACTTAAATAAGATAGTGTTGATCCACATAAGATACACATTAAAAGAAATAAATAAGAGGTGTCTGATGCATGATGTTAACACATTAAATATTATCTCATTGTCATTTATTATTAAAACATACCATTACATATAAACCGTTCTTTGCTGCCAAAAAATTATCGGGAGTATAAATAAAATTATAATCTTGCACAGGCAGATCGATCACCCAAAGAAAAAAAATCCGCTCTTTACCTCCAATTGGATGTTTTTCTTCATAAGGTACTTTTCTCCTTGCGAAAATAATAGCTATGCATAATTAATTTCGAACATTTGTACTTTTCTTTGGATTTATCCAGTTACAATATCAAGAAAAATGGGTGAGCATGAAATTGTTTATTAATATTAAATCAATAGTGCTTAAATACGGTGGAGGCTCCACATATTATTATTAAAAATAAAAAATACGGAGACTGACGAGTCTATTAAAACAAAAAAAATACCGTGAGCATAAATAATAAGAGTACTTCGTAATTAAAAGCCATTGACCGATTGACGCCAAATTTTTCGGAGGCTGAGCTCTATTTTCTCATAAAATTGTGTCTAATTGGAGCCTTCACAGCGTCATAGATACTTTTGGAGTCCTAACAGAGGTGTTGAAAGAGTCGATGCCACATCAACTTAAAAGAACTCCTAAAACACTGCGTTGGAGATACAAAATTAATCACACTTTCTGATTTGATGATGTGGCAAATTTTTACTATGTCAGAAAAATGGCATTGGTCATTGGAGATGCTCTAAGGGCTTTGGTTTTTTTTTCTTTTTACATTTTTAGCTTAATATAAGTATTTATTTGTTATTTTAATTTGTTTTAGTGACCTAGTGTGTCATTGTGTGCTTTGAATTGTGAAATGAAACATTAGGATTTAGGAATGTCAAATGTGATTTGTGAAGTTCTTAAAATATTAATATTAGTTATCTATATTAAAATAAAATATTGATTAGTTTTTTCTTTATTTTGAGTGCAACATAAAAATCATTTTCTGCAGTGAAGCACGTGAGGAATGAAATTCATAACAAGTTGAATGATGAATTTCTCGCCGATCGTTTGACCATCTTTATTGAAAAGGAATTTGCCAACAAAATCGATGTTGAGTCTGTCATAGATGAGTTTGCTAAGGTCAAAGAACGATGTGTTCAGTTAACATTTTACTTTTCAAATTTTGCATGTAATGTTCAAAAAAAATATTATGAATTTTAATGACTTTCAATCATTATATTTACACTATTTACGCGTTTTAAATTTTTATATAATGTTTTTAGTGTATAGTTGGCCCAGGGTGAACATCTGTCCTGGCTACGCACCTGATTATTACTTTATTTTATTTGAGGATTTGAAGTTTGAATAGATTCCTGGATCCAGGTGGTTATCACATTTGCTGGTGATAACTAGATTTTATTGAGTTTTTATTTGGAGTTATAATTTAGTTGTATTTGAGATTTTATCAAGGTTATTTTTCAAACAAACGACCGTTATATTGCAGTTTATTTTTAAAAGTAGTATGCTAGTGTAACGTTTCCTTTAACTCTGAGAGGAGCGTTACAATTTAAAACTGAGGGTAATGTACAAGAATGTGCCAACTATTGAGTAGAATAAGTTTATGAGTCACACCATGAAATTTTGAGAGCGAGTGGTTGAGAAAAGACTCCGAAAAAGTGTGAAAATTCAGAGAATTAATTTGGTTTTATGTTTACCTTCTTAAACAAATTGAAGCCATTTACCTTCTTAAACAAATTGTGGAGAAGTATAGAGATACTAAAAAGGATTTGCATTTGGTGTTCATCGACTTAGACAATGCATATCATAGAGTACCTTGAGAACAAAATCGGGTGTTAAAACAAAGTTGGAAGCATGACGACAAACATTGAAGACCATGGGTTTTGAGACTGAGTCGAAGCAAGACTGAGTATATTAAATGCAAGTTTAGTGGAAGTAAAAGTAGTAACAATGTGATTACCCTTGATGGCAAAGATATATTAGTGTGTGATATGTTCCGTTATTTGGACTCCATAAATCAAAATGATGATGATTTAGATGAATATGTATCCATAGAATCAGAGCAGTGTGGATGGAATGGAAGAGTGAATCATGATTTCTATGTGGTCGAGGTATGCCGACTAGACTGAAGGGTAAATTTTATCGGATAACAATTAGGCACGCATTAATATATGGTGTAAAGTGTTGAACGGTGAAACAATGTCACATTCAAAACATGAGTGTGACAGAGATGCGTATGTTGCGTTGGATGTGTAGACATATCAGAAAAGATCACTTGAGGAATTAGATAATCAGGAAAAAGGTGGGAGTAGCACCTATAAAAGATAAGATGCAAGAGTTTCGATTGCAGTGGTTTGTTCATGTGTGTAGAAGACAAAGTGATGTACTTGTTAGATGAGTTGAGAGGTGGGAAGAAGAGGCGGGGAGGAGAGGGAGAGGAAGACCCAAACAGACTTAGATTATAGAAACCATAACTGACATTCTTCTTCTTGAGTTGGATGAGAGTATGAATTTGGAGAAAGCAAAGTGGAGGACGCATATTCGTGTGAACAATCGATCTCTTTTTTCTCTCTTTTTCTTTTATCTTTTTATCTTCTTACCTTTCTATTTTCTTATGTTATTTTTACCTTTTATCTTTCTGATGGATCGCCGACCTAGGGGTACCCGGAATCCAGGAATATAAGAGAGACTGAAAAGTGCTAAGTAAGATCGGGTAGGAATTTGAGCAGAGTAACAACAAGTTCTTTACACCCAAAATTGGGTCCCTTTTCACAAGCTGGAAGATGATATTTATACAAAGGGTGAAATATTTGACCAACAAGTAAAAAGATGTTATTCTATTGTGGTGAAAGACACGTGTCAGACCTGCCTAACAGAATAAATATACTAGTCTAATGACATGGTGACACATGTAAAGGTGATTGGAGAGATAGTTGAGACAGCTGGCTGATTGGCATTGTGCGTAATAGAATTTGTCCTTTGTGTACCAGAACGCACACATGTTTATCCGGAACATTCTTCGTGATAACCGTCGGGGTGACGTGACTCCTGTATAGTGCTAGTGACGTGGCGACAGTTTGTACGACACTTAATTGCTGAGATGTCCGAAGTCCATAGCTGGCTAGTGAGGCCTCGAGCTCTTCGAGCGAGGTCAGAGCTCATGTGTGGCGAATAGTTCCTAGAGGGTTTTACCCTAGTCTTCCGTTTGTCCAGTAGTGGCAATCTTCCGCTTCTATTGACTTAAGTTGACTTTGAGCTTGTGCACGAGGTCAGATCTGGTGCCGACCCTAACAGGGGTTGAGCTCGGATTCGGTCTTATCTTGATAATCTGGGGGCTTAATGTTGGGCCGACCTCGGGTGGGTCGAGGTCGGTCTCGGCATAATATTGAATTGGTGTTCTGGAGACTCTTTGTTCGTGCATGGAATATACTCCGTCACTTTATATTACTACCTCCGTCCCAATGGACTTTGCACTTCTTGAATTAGGTGAGAAATAACAATAGTAAAAATTGTGTAGTTGAAATTTGTTTAGAGGAAGAAAAATGAGCAAAACCATAAAATAGTTATTTTAATGGAAAAATGACAAAGTTTTTTGGGATAAATAAAAAGAGAAACTTGTCTAAGTACAATGGAACGGACGGAGCATGTTATCGTATCTTTTATCTTTGTTAGATTGTTATGTTCTTTTTATCTTATGTCTACCCTAGAATTCAGCTCACAATATCTTATGGGCATCTTATCCTTTTAAACTCTTCAATACCCTTCATTTTCTCGCGGTGTATTGCTCTCTTCGTCAGTGAAGTTCGTTTATCTCTTAATTAAGGCAGAAGGTTTTTCATTCAGTCGTCCTATTAATCTTTCATAGGTATGTATGTTCAATTAATTTTCTCTAATTTTGGATAAACATCTTCAACCAGTCTTAACATTTTCAGTTTCAGTTTATGATACGACTACATCTTATCATTTTTTAAAGATTTTGTTCTTTCTGTTATGAAGTTACAACAGTTATGGTGTTTCAGTTTGATACTTTGATTAATTATTGATAGTATGAGTGTTTGTAGACTTTTTGTATACATAAGCATGTGCAGGTTGTATAGCTGTAGGAAATATGATTTGCAATCACTCAAGGAATGCATAGAATGTGTTCGTGAATTTGCCTTGCTAAAATCAATTCATGTTCTTTACTTCTTTAGTAATCTTCTTGCTCTTTTCACTTCTTTCAATTACACTCTAGGGGATAAAATAATCACAGAATCAAAGAGCTATTAAATAAAGGAAGATAATTAATACTCTGTAATATAGCTAGCCTACAAGAACCAATTTTTTACACACAGTCATAATAAATATGGAAATAGTTGTGCACTTGTGTGTGACGCACAATGGCACTTGTTTTTGTTTGATTGTATTAAAATTATATGCAATGTAAAATCATTTTATTCAACTAAACATATCCTATTATACGTATTTTAATTTGTTATTGTGATTCAAGGTAATCGTTTTAAAGTTAAAACACTTGATTATATTTTACTTTCTAAGTTATTCTACTTATAAAATTATTATACAAAAAAGTTATGATCAAAATAGTTATTCTACTTATAAAATTATTATTATACAAAAAACACAAACTAATAAAAATATACTCATGTCCTTATACGTCTTTTAGCACCCCTAACAGATATTACAAACAACTAATTTTACCAAATATTTATATATAACAAGCTGATGATTTATACTCCCTCCGTTTCGCAAACAAAGTCACACTTTCCTTTTTTGGATGTTTCAAAAACAAAGTCACACTTCCCTTATTTCCTTATTTGGCAAAGAAATCTACTTCAAAACAGTGCCAAACAGTGCCAAACAGTGTCTAAACAGTGTCAAACAGTGTTTAAACAGTGTTATCTACAGTAAAGTCAATTTATTTCCTTAATCCTAGAGAAGTCAAACCGTGACTTTCTTTGCGAAATGGAGGGAGTATATAACAAGCTGATATCATCAGTCAATCACAACGTCTAATATAACCAGATATCGAGAACATCTAACACAACCAGCTTACATCTAATCGCTAACAACTATTTACATATTATGTAGTACTTCGTATTACACAATCTACAAACAAATTTTACATTCGTTCTTCATATACACATTATTTTTAAACATCATACAAACAATTTCTAAATATTTCAAATTCATTTGCGTTTTTTAATGAAATGCTTGTATACAGAATTGAATAGAGGCATATATAAAAGCTTGTATAAAAAGCATCTGCAAAAGGAAAATTCCCAAATTTTATAGGTCTATATAGTTCTCTGTATATACCTCATGTAAGAATCTCTCTCCTAAGTCCTAACCTCTTTGCAGGAAAAAAAGCATAATAAAAAACCATTAAACTGGCCACAAGTCTACAACCCATATCTAACTTTGTCCAAACCACAGCTCCTATGCCCTTAATCCATCTGCCGTATTTACAGTCACTGCTTACATCTCGCCAGTCGCCACTTCCGCGAAACAACACATAAACCCTATTCATTTTAGACAACTCGTTTCACCCCGGATCAGCTAAAAAGGTAGTAGAGTTTTCTCTCTGTGTGTTGGTCTTATGAAGTTCATTTCAGTGTTTGGAACATCGTTTATTTCATGTGGGTTTCCACAATTCCACTTAATGGGCATTTACATGCCGGAAATCTTGATCATTTTCATCATTTTCATTTACCCCAGTGCCGCAAAGGCTCCCACCTACAGTGGGGTAGTGGGGTCGGATGTACGCAGTCTTACTCCTATACTAAAGCACAAAGAGACTGTTTCCGGATGACCCATAGTGAAAATCGCGTCCAAAATTGCATGGACTGACTACTGCTTCATAACAAAGAAGCGCAAACAGTTTAGTGAGTCATTTTGCTTTATTCCATCATTTTCTCAAGCCAAAAAATAAGGAATCCTTGGCTCCATTGCGAATGATGGAAAATGCTGGAAATCTTGATGTTTTGAAATAATAATAGGGTAGTACTGCTGTAATGGAGAGGAGGGGATATGCCATGATGGGTGAGCCTTAAGGATTTCACATATGCTCTCTAACGATGGGTGAATAAGCTATGCTTTTCCGGAGCTTTTGCTTCGGTCAGCCTTTTCTTCTCACGAGCATCTAATTGACCAGTCAATTAGTATTAGGTCAGTTTTGCTTTTAGAACTATCCATCGTTCTCTCCTGAGTGTTACAGTCGTCGTTCGACTCTCTCAAGACAAAGTGGGACAGTCTTCTTCCCTCTGTTACACCTTTCGACCGACTCCTCCCCATGTAAATCAGATTTCTTCTTCAAACTGTAAGACTTCTTCTTTCCCAAGGATTTTATTTTTCCAAATATAATGCTCTCAGTTACTTGTACTCCTTTCGAATGTAAAGTTCCCAGCATCTACCGTTCTTTATCTATTTTTCTTTTACAAATTTTCTCTGCCACTTCGTAAAGTTTCCAGCCCACTTTTCTTTACATTTTCCGTTTACTCTGATTTTGTCTTTTCTGAAAAAAAAATCAGAATTTTCAGTCTATGATGGCATGATCAAACTTGTGAGAATGATTGTTCACTCTGCTTCATTCCATTATTAGCTTATGTTTGATCTGCTTCAGTCCATGATTAGCTTTTGTTTACTCTACTGTAGTTCATGATTTCTCATAACAATTTCAGTGTTAGTTAATCAACATTATGTAAAAGTTTAGAATGAACAATATGTAAAAATTGTTTTAAAATATGTTCATGCTTACCGATCATTGTTTTAGTTTTTTTCTAGAATGAACAATATGTTAATGAGCAATTTTGGAATCAACACTTGTTTTAATGAGTAATAATTGCTTTAAGTATTTGTACATTTGCCTGATTTTATTTGCAAGTTATGTGTTAAAATGAGTAGTTTTCACTATTATTACTGTTGTGATGACTACTATGGCTAGTTGGCTACTAGTTATGTGTTTTTGGCTTAATTATGATTTGCTACGTGCTTTCGCTTTTATTGCAAGCTCAACCTCCTTGCTTTTGTTCGGTTTTCACTTATATGAGTTTGAGGTGGTGTGATGTGAAAAGTTAGATATATATCAAAAGAATAAAAGCTACATTAAAATAATTGTGTACATGACGAATATATCAAGGGTTTTTACTAGGCTTAAAGCTTGTTCAGTTAAAGAGTAAAAAAGCTCAGCATAACTTTCATTCATATTTAAGTAATACCCCCAGGAACACATAAGTAGTTTTGTTTTTAACTTTGAGGCTTGTGCCTCACAAAACGCCTTGAGGTCTGAGTCTTAGTCCATTGGAGGCGTAAGCCTCAATCAAATCACTTGAGGCGCCTCAACAAGTTTATTTAGCGCTTCACAGTGAGACAAGACTTGACGCACGCCTCAAGAATGTCTTTCAAGCAATGCTCCCAATGGAACTGCTTTCCTCAAGGAAAAGTTTTGCTGGCAATTTAAGAAGTGAGCCTCAGAAGAGTCTACAAATTCTTAATCAATATGCCCCCTGTTCAACACAAAAACGGCTTTAGGTGTTTTACAAATTAGGGTCTGTGGCCTTCTAATAATGAAAGTTCTCCTAGCCCTTTTTTTAGTTGGGGGATATTGGGAGAGGGAAGGGAGGAGTGGTTTTTGTTTTTTTATTTAATATTGCTTTTGGATGATTGAAAGGAAAGTTCGATGAAGTATTGTATAGAAATAGATCAATTAATTAGACATATAACAATTTTATAATTTAAGATTAATAAATGAAGATAAAATAATAAAACCAAAATCAATCCTCATGTGCCCTTCCCAAAAAAATCTCCCAACCAAACACACAACAACATTACCCCAATGCCGCAAAGGCTCCCACCTATGGTGGGGTAAGGGGGTCATATGTACACAGCCTTACCCTTGTACTGAAGCATAGAGAGACTGTTTCCGGATGACCCATTATGAAAATCATGTAAAAAATTGCATGGGCTGACCGCTGCTTAGGGAAATTGATAATCACGAATTATTAAGGAAATGTGAAACATTGCTCTAAGATTGCATACATTTTCTTTCTTACATTAATAGTTTTTGATAAATTTGATGTAAAATCAATGCATTGCATAGACTCTGGTTTGTTGAAACTGTCAATACATAAGTGACTGTGTAATGAGGATGATGATATACTCTATAATATTTTACTGCTACCTTGTCCAATGTCTATGCAGGTTTTATTTTTAATGATGGATGTTGTGCACCGAAAAGATGAGGTGGAAGAGGGTGAAAGCTTGCTGCAAACAAAAGGGTGTGTGAATATACACGTAAACGTGCTGTTCTTTGCTCGTGCCACTGACCTCACAGGCTTGAAGAATATGCCTCTGGAAGTTTCGTTGGGCAGCACTGCCAGAGATTGCTTGGATAAAGTTATCGTCAAGTTTCCGGGATTGCAAGAGATACGTAATTGCATGGCCCTTGCCCTGAACATGGAATACACCACAGAATCTACCATTGTCAAAGACAAAGATGAGCTTGCCATTATTCCTCCTATAAGTGGAGGTTAGGACGTTTCACCCTCCTTGCCATGTAAGAAATGAAGGATTTGGAAGCTCACAATCCTCACATACATATTACATCAATGATAATAAAGCCATTTGCAAAGTCATATGTGTGTGTACATACTGATATAAATATACACATATGCTTGTGTGTACTGTGACCTAAAATCATTGTTATTGCATTAAAGCTTACTTCAATTTTCTTAACAATTTTAGCCTAAGTGCCTGCATCAATCCATCATCATTAGAGGAGTTCTTACTTATTAGCATTTTGCCTTTCTTGAAATTCAACATTTTGCTCCACATCTTGTTACATTACTAGATTGCCTCCATCATCCTGTTTCCCCTCTTTCTTGCGAGTGGAGCCTCCCTGGAGAAGATAACTCTCTCTTTCTCAAAATATTGCTAGATTATTATGTGTAATATATCGATAGGGTATTAGTAGAAGATGAAAACCCCAGATGCCAGAGCTCTACTGGTGAAAATAGTTGTGGTGAAAGCCTATGAAAACAGATTTTGAATTCAAATATGATGGATTGCACTCGTAAAATGTATGTTATAGGCTTTGGCTCATCTAGGCCACTAAATTCAAACCCAGCAATGTAAGGAAAATGCTATAGTATGCAGTGAGTACAATTATCAACCCTTCAAATAGAGAAGAAAATGAGAATTTATAGGTTAAACAAATAGGAATTCGCTGGTCAGACACCATGCTCTTTTCCCATTGGCAAATTGATGCATTTTTCATGCCATATGAAAAAATGAGTGCTCGGGCGAGTCTGAAGCGATAACAAGGGCAAGTTGGGTATTCTAAGTTTCTAACCCGTTCACTGTCCTACCTCGGTATCATTCACCATTAATAGACCTAACAAGATTCATAGTATGCTTAATCATCAGTTTAACGGCTATCTTGTTCAAAGTAATATTCAATGATGTTTAGAAATATTAATTTTTTGGCATTGATAATTATGATGTCTCGGGTAAAAAATGCACTTTCAATTATAGCGGATGAAATTGATCACACACAACTTTTGCAGTGTTATCAATACGAGTGTGTCCAATTAACTTGTTATCTCAGCGACTCAGCCATATATATGCTCTTAAAATACTTGTCTTAAAATCATTTATGGCCCAAATCGATAATATTATACAGTTGACTAAAATGAAGTCATGTGATTGATTATATACCAACCATATTATTTCGGGACTAAAAATCAATAAACAAAACTTAAAATTACTAAAACAGGATATCATAAATTCACTTTATTAAATGAATGAACATAAAGTATCCAAGTAATCATATCCTACGATTGTCTTATGGCATTTATGACATTATAGTCAGGTTTGTGTCTTATAGTTAAACTTCTAGACTTCTAGTGGTTGTCAACTCTTCACTCATTTGTTAATCAACTATTCATTATTTTATTGCATATTTCTTATTTATTCTAGTGGTCTCATATATGTGCTAGTCAAAACTACCATTTTTCATAATCATTCGGTACTTAAAAGTATAATATCAGGAATTTTAAACTAGAACAAAAAAAAAAGAGTCTTAAGATATGTTTTCAAATTGCAACTCTAAACAGGGAGGAAGACAAGAAATTCTTGGAAAAACATGTTAATTAGGGATTTAGGGTGCCAATAACAGTTTGAGAAGCTCTAGCAAAACATGGTGTTTGACCAGGCTTATAGTTTATTCCCATGTTTATTCCATTGGGATGCCTGACAAGGTACTATGGAAAGTAAACTTCTTTTTATCAGTAAAAGAGGGGATCCTAACATTCTTGGAGTGAATTCCACATGAAAGACAATACTGCACATTTCACTAATGTCTTAGTAGTTGCATTTCTGTCCAGATTTGGACAATGTGTCTTCCTCAATTTACTCAACAATATTGTCAAGCAACTCCCACATTAGCTTTGCATCATTCATGTGATGAGAAACATCAACACTTTCAAGATATCCTGATGAGTTCACTGACAGTAAAACTTATCAAAGGCTTGATATGTACCCAGTCACGATACATGATTGTCACTCTAGGGTGTGCCCACTTTTTTTAGTTTTTACATTAACTACCACCTTCTCACTTGTATTTAGCTCTTCCTTCAATATTTAAGTCCTAAGATCACACATGTTTGGAGGTTTAATTCACCGACTATACGCAAAGGACCATGGTGTATATATATATATTTTATATTAACAAAAGAGCTTCTTGCTACATTAAAGAGGATTGCATTTTTAAACCAGAACTTGCCAATGTCCAAACAAACTCTTTTGCGCAACTCTCTTGCATTTGGTGCATTAACATCGGCATCGCCAGCACCATCTCATTCACCATAAATCTATCCCAAGGCCCCTGAACACCTCTTGTAGGAAGAGTATTATCATTTGCTTGATCTTACTCTCCATCCCACTACTAAGTAAGAACCCAATAATCCATATCAACATAATCTTCAAACTTTTAAAATTGTTTAGAGCTGTTTTATTCAAATACTCCTAAAATTGATTCTTAATGTCGTTAGTCATTTGTTTACAATGCAACATTCTTTCTAGTAGAAGCGAGATGATCTTCCCAAACCATCAAGCATGGCGCCAATTGGTTTTCAACTAACTTTAGTAGTTTTCTGATGATTTATTTGACAATAAGGAGTATGGTTTTCTCTATAGCCACTTCCTTCATGGTTCCCAGGCTTCTGGTGTGCTTTGTCACCAGGCTTCTCATCTCCGTCATTGTGTTGCAATAGATCAACAATTGCTTTTTCTTTCTAAGGCATTACGGAGTAGTAGTGGATGTTTGATGGAGTTTGCTATAGAGTGATGACTAACATTTCATTTCATTTTCGTCACATTGCTTAATTCATTTCTAAGTCACTAGTTTAATTGATAGTGTATGTTTTGTTTAATTGCAAGTACAAGAATCTTTATTGTTACGGAAAATTTCAAGTTACTGGTGTTCAACAATTCAAATTGTTTCCATCAAGAAAATCACCTACATGTATGGGGATGGACAAGTCAAACAATTGCAAAGACATTAAAAAACAGCATATAACCCATTTATGGAGTCGTGTGTTTTTGTTGTCTAGATGTTGTTCCACTCAAAGTGGGGTAAGAACCGGAGAACACGTTACCAATTTATCAAATAAAAACGGATACATGATAGGGGACGTAAAGCCAAACAAAGAAAGTCCCCTTAAACAACTCCAAACAATTGTAATTTATTATTATACTGAGTATGATATACTCCCCTCGTGCCAAAATTAAGTTCCGGATTTGACTTTGCTTTTTAGGTAGGATAGAAAATAAAATTGGGATTTTTATTTGAATATTACTAATTTTGAACCAATTACCAAAAAAGGGATCACTTTTAAAAAGGGGCAAAAAAGTGATCAAAAAGGTCATATTAATGTCCTTCCTAGATTTTAATGTCATTATCGTGTTTTAACATCACTATCAAATGTCACTGCCACCACCGCTCATGTGACTGCCGCTACCGCCCGTGTCACTGTAACCACCGCTCGTGTCACTGTAGCCACCGCCCGTGTCACTGCGGTCACCGCCCGCGTCACAGCGGCCACCGCCCGTGTCACTGTAGCCAATAGTGAATGTCACTGTTGCCGGAAAACATGTCACTATGACTATTCCAACAAGCGAAACTGCCGCCACCAACACCGCACCCGATTAACCACCACCCCACTCCACATTCACATTTAGCCCTGCACACCCAAATCCGGCAGCTCCCCAACCCCACCTCAACCCACCAGCCCCTTCCCCAGCCCCACCACAACCGACCAGCCCCCCTCCCAACCCCCTCCCCAGCCCATCAGCCCCCTCCCCTGCCCACCTCAACACATCAGCCCCTCCCTAGCCCCACCTCAACACACCAGCCCCCTCTCTTCCCCTGCCCCACCTCAACACACCAACCCCCTCCCCAGCCCCACCTCAACACACCAGCCCCATCCTCAACTCCACCAGCCTCCTCCCCCCGCCATCCCCCCTCCCCAGCCCCACCTCAACACACCAGCCCACTCTCTTCCCCTGCCCCACCTCAACACACCAACCCCCTCCCCAGCCCCACCTCAACACACCAACCCCCTCCCCAGCCCCACCTCAACACACCAGCCCCATCCTCAACTCCACCAGCCTCCTCCCCCCCTCCCCAGCCCCACCTCAACCCGCCATCCCCCCTCCCCAGCCCCCACCCCGACCACCAGCTCCCCCACCCCATCTCACTGACCCCAGTCTCATCTTCCCAGCCCAAAAGAACCCCCACAGCCTTGCCCAGCAACGCCGCACCACAACGCTCAAGCCCTCAAGCCTCACCCCTGTGGACAACAGTGCTTCGCCGTCAAGCCTTGCCCCTGTTGATCTCAGGTCTGAAAATCGATCTGAATTTCAAATCGGAGAATCGAAGAATTTCCAACGAGATGCAGAAGAGAGGAGGACCGGCGGCTTGGAGCGTCGAAGAAGATGGCGCCATGGCCGTGCGAAGAGAGAAGCCTCCAGACTTTCGACGAGATGCTGCAGAGAGAAGGACCAACAGCTTGGAGCGTTGAAGAAGAGAGCTTCATTGCCGTACGGAAGGAAGATCGGTGCTGAAGCCTCCGGAGCTTTGCTGAAGGAAGATTGGAAGATCGATGCTAATGAAATCCACGGAAGACCGCAGAGAGGGAGAAACGGGTACTTCCGATGAAATCGACGGAAGAGGGACGAAAGAGAGAAACGGGTGAGTTTTGCGTCAATTTTAAAAAGAGTCATACTTTTGCCCTATGAAAGTTGGGCGGTAATATCGACGCCATTGTTTCAATAAAATTACTTCCAAAGATTCCCTTGAGGGTTTGGGCTATGAGAAGATGTAGTATCCAAGATTCTAAATGGGCACAACACACAATGTAACTCATATCAATTCAATAATGAATAAGGACACAAATATTACATATAGCTTTGTGAAATACGAGTATAAAAATGTGACTACTTTTCCTTTTCCCATAAATATGAGTAATCTATTACTGGTATTTAATTAATTCATCATTTTTTCATTGTAATTTATTCATCATATTTTCATTGTAATTTATGTCAAATCTTTACCTCAACCCCTCTCCCCTCACACTTGCTTAGTCACAGCCGGATCCATCATTGGAAACTGCCGCCAGAAACCACCACCAGAAAAGTCGTCAGAACTGTCGCCGGAAAAGTTCCAAAAATTTATTATGATTTTTCTTCATTTTTTTTCTTTTTCAAAATCACCAGAAAAAGTCATCCGAAAACTATCCACCGGTCACAATGACATGTTTCACGACGACAGTGACATCCATTAGTGAAATGAAAATCTGACAGTGACATTTATTAGTTACATGAAAATCTAACATCATTATATTTTTTCTAGTGACATCATATTTTCCCAAAAATATGCCTTTGTAGGTTACATTTTTTTTGGAGTTTTTTTATAAATATTACTACTAATATATGGGTTTACATTAATATGACTACACCTAAGAAACACGCACGCTCGGCTCTTAGTAATGCAGGGAAATTACATGGGTGCCCTAGAATGGTTATGAAAACGGCTAAATTTCAGGATTTCTGTGTAATCATGATCGGATAAACAGGTAACGTAAGAAGATTGTAGTCATAACGTACGGAAGCGAGGATCAATTCATTCGAAGCCAGA